CACAAAAAAATGAAATTAATTTTTATACATTAAAAATTAACGTAGGCCTATTTTTCATGCGTTTTAATAAGCAGATATTGATGCGTACATACAGAACAATGCGTGAAAGTACAGAACAACACACAATGAAATACAACAATATTCACTCACAACTTTGAACTTGAACAAATGGAATATAGGCCTATCTATTGGTAAGTTACAGGTAGCTCAACTTTCCTTATAATTACTACAGCTTTCAGGCTATGTTTGAATTTTCAATTTCGTCTCCTCGATGTTATCTTGGAATTCCGTCTTTCCAAGATAACATATCTTGGAAAGACGTCTTTCCAAGATAATTTATATTGGAAAGACGGAATTCCAAGATAAATTATCTTGGAAAGACCCTATATATTCTTTGGTTCTCCCAATATTCTCGGTCCTTTTGCATCCCTCTTCAACTATAGCTAATCCTTCCATTCCGGATATCATCAAGCAGCATTATTCTTTTCCTTCCTCTTGGTCTTTTTTTAACAAGTAAATACGTCGTGTACAATTTGTTTTAAGGTTAATCACTGCAGGTAAGGCACGTAGGCCTATTTGTCCGAAGATTACTGTCCCGGTAACTAGATTGAATTATGATATTTTGTTTGTCTGCCAAAATAGGCCTAAAGTTTAAACATGGTTCCAATCTTAGAAATGATGCTGATACTGGTCTGTAGAAAGGATGTGTAAAGCCTGGTTTTCATAAATAGCATGGTGTTAAGTAACAGAAGAGTCTCAGGGAAGAACCACTTTAGTTAGGGATGCAAGGGGAAAATCTTATTTATTCACTAGCATAGTGATTTTCTTATAAGCTTTACAAAACAAATTCTTTTACAAAAAATAGAATGGGTTGTCCTACGCCCTCTTACACCCCTAACGCCATCCCCCACCCAATTTCCGTCAGCTGTGCTCTACACCCGGCTCTAAAGTAAAGTTTATGTGGTGCGTCTTTCTGAGTCTGAGCATGGAGGTATAAGCTGAGCGTGTCGTTAAAAGTCTGTGTGCCCTCTACGCCAAATGCGTCTGGACACTAACGACTAGGCGGAAGTAACTTTAAAACAACTTTCCGGACGATTGAACTTCACGCTTTACATCACATCATAATACATATGATGTGATTATAATAATTATGATGTGATTATTATACACAAACATGATGAGTATTTTGAAACAGGAGCGAGAACTGGTAAGCCTAACTAGGCCTAGGCTAGGCGTAGCCTGGTCCCTATATTTACATCCTCACTTTTCTAAAAAAGACCCTTTGTTAATAATAATATGTGAAATGATACGATATCTTTGGCTAACATTGAAATCGTATACTGTTGTAGTTTTAATTCTAGGAACTAGGCCTAGGCCCTAGGTCCTAGGCCTAGGGTAGGCCAAGTTGGTAGGCCCTAGGGCTAGGTAGGACTCGCGGCCAAGAATACTACAACGAAAGCCTAGGCTGTAGTCTAGGCCTAACTCAGGTAGGCCTAACAGATGAGGATGTGAAAAGGAGAAGAGTCGGAGACCAAATACAACCACACGCAGATACTAGTTAAAAGTTCTATTAATTGAGAGGGGATAACAAGTTTATAATTTTATTTATATGATATAGGATAGGCCTAGGGTCCCGAAATAGGCATGACACAATTAAATACAAACTTGTATATAAGAAAAACCAAAAAATAACATAAAAAACTGTATATGAGCAAATCGTGGAAATGGTTGCGGTTTTCTGAACATTTGAAGTATCTGAGCGAGTGAATATCAAGTTGCATGTAAATATCTGTCATACTGTTTTGCTTTTGCAGTTATGCAATGTCATCTACCAGTTCTCCCGAAATTCCTGTTTTTAATATCCACTTTAATCCTATATAATGAATTTTTATATTATTTTTTTTTTAGATAATGATTAGCTGAAAGTATATTTAAACACTTTAAGGAACATCTAGTTAACTTTTCAAATACAAATTACTTTATTTACATAAAAAATATTGCTGTTTAGATCGCCTCGCGACACCTTGTGCGCACAGCCAATCCATAGCTCATAATCAGGTAGGGGAGGAAAAAATACTATTGCTACGCATCGTAGTACATTCATATTTGGCAAATAAATTCTTGGATACATAAACTACAGTAACTTGTAATGGTAACAAATTAAAAAATGTTATTTGCAGTTCTCTGAAAAAAAAAAAAAAAAAACGATATATTTTATGTTACTATAATTTGTAAAATTTTAAAATATAAAAATATGGAAACAGATCTCGGGAAATTTTAAAATGGTGAACAACTTCGACCCCTTAGTGAGACTGATCTGAAAAATGTTTCAACCAATCAAAAGGCTTTTTTATGAATTCATTTATAAAGCATTTTGTTAACATTTAAACACACACGGGTCGCAGTTAATTGACTTATTAATTAGTGAGTGACATCACGCATTGTAGCGTGCCTACCCTAGAGGCCTATTTTGCATGATTTTTGTATCCATAAATCGACCATTGTTTTTAAAACAGTACTACTTTGTACAGATAATTAGATAAAAAAAAGAACTTTAGGCCAGATTCAAGATTTAAATTTAAGGAAAAATTGAAATGTACAGAATAATTTAATGTAACAATTTTTAAAAATGTTGAAAATTTTTAAAATACTCAGTTAAAAGTTTCTTCCTGATTGTCAAATCTTTGAACAATACTGTAAATATTTAACCCTTTCTTTTTCAGATTTAATCAAGCGAAATTTTTAAAGCAAAAATGGTAAATCAAGACTAGTTTCCAGAATTGTAGTGAATGCGGGAACAACATAATGCAAAAGAATAGAACTTCTAGGCTATTGAGTCTTCAAAAGCTTGGAGCATTTATTTTGTGGTTGCAGTTAACTTGCATACACAGTGGTACTTTGCCAGATTACCTACTGCATGAGTTCATGCCAGACTCCAGAGTTAATCTGTATCACATTGCAATCCATGATACATCTGGTCATATCTACGTAGGCGGGTACAATGAATTGTTCAAACTCTCTAAAGATTTTGCATTACTCCATAATAATTCGACTTGTAACATATTAGAGAATTGCATTAACATCAACAAGGTTCTTGTCATTGATTATGATAATGATCGATTGATAACATGTGGAGGAGGCAACAGTGGAAAATGTGAAAGTCGTAATTTGAAAGATATGAAGCTGATTGATTCATCTACAAGCCAAGTAGTTGGTCTTGGTTATCTATCTGCTGTTGGGTTCATAGCACCATCTAGTGGGAGTGATGCTTTGTATACTGCTTCAAGTGATGATGACCAATCATTCCATTTTGTGTCACGAAGGAGGTTAAATGATCTTGGTAATCGTGGATCTAGTGATTCTATACAATTAAAACTAGGTTATGATATCCACTACACAACTGGATTTTCACATAATGGCTTTAGTTACTTTGTATCAAATAGAGAAGATTCATCAAGACTCAGTCGCATTTGTCAAGAATGGATGTATATGACCACCTTTTCTGAAATTCATCTTTCATGTAGTGGATATGAATATGTTCAAGATATGTTTGTTGGTCCTGTAGGACATGATTTCGCTGATTCTCTAGGTCTCCAGCCAGGAGCTGTTGTTCTTTATGGAGTCTTCTTAAAAAGTTCTTCTATTGCAGATTCTGCTATATGTATTTTTACATGGAGTGATATTGATCATGCATTTTTTAGAGCATTAGAAGGATGTCTTTCAAGTCCAGAATCAAGCAATGAACTGAAATATGCGGTAGGGAATAACTGTCCATATAATGTAAGTATTTGTTCAATATTCTCTCTATTCAGTCTTGTCTGCCTATTATAGTGAATTTTTATCTTGGTGGTGAAGATACAGTATTATGGTTAAGGTATGGTACCACTACTACAGCAATGACTGTACAGTAGAAGTGGTCCCATATAATGATTGAATTGATTGGTTGAAGCACTTGCACAGTGATGGTGTATAATTTTAAAGGGGAACCAGTGAACATATCAATTTGTTTGGGCTGTTTTGACCAAGTAACAAAACATTTTTAATACTGCTTGGATGTAAGGAAGACAAAAATGAACTGATTGAGTTCGCCACACAATGCAGTGTTTGGGCGGTTTCATTATACAAAAATTGTATATAAAAATTCACTTTTTTAAACGATTAATTTTAAAAATACTTTCAGAAATACATTCCCAATTTATGCATGACACTGTAGAAATAACATATTTCCGCTATCAAGTATATTTGTTAAATGAATTTTAACAAGTCTTTGATACAGCAGGTACAATATTTTCTTCAGTTTAGAAATGGAGCACGCCAATTCCCTGGGCCGGCTGTGAGCCTGGGCAGTTTTTCTTCTTGAAAGCCTTAAATATAAACAACGACGGAAGAAAATTGTATCAATCAGATTTATTTTTATATGGGCAATTCCGTAAATTAGTAAACCAAATGGTAAAAAATTCAAATACATCAAATGTGTA